ATAAAACCCTCTACTTATCACTTGAATTTTCCTTATAGCCTTCTGCATCTCTTTTGCTTTAACCACCTCATTTCTTTGTCCTCACTTTTCTTTCCATCTCTCCAGCAGCCATGATGCCTGAGGACATGCCAGCTTGAGGTTTCCTCATTGCTCTTCCGAAACAGCTTTGAGCTTTAAGTCAAATTAAGTCGTTATTAAAATAAGACAAACACACAGAACACCCCCTCCTTCTTTTCTGTCCAAGAACCCAGCACAATGGAAATTGTTACAAACAAGTGAGATAGTAATCATGGTGGTTGTGGAGTAATGTGCTGGTGCTCTGAACTGTTCCTGAATGCAGTAGAAAATTTTGTTTTCTGAATATTATTTATTTAAAAATATCAGTGTTTCAGTATTAACTTGATGTGCGGTCAACTTTAAAAGAATAGAAAAGTATTCAATTTGCTGTGACTCATATACAAAAATAATTTAGTTCTGGGGGTTTTTTTGTGGATGTGTTTGAAAATGTGAATTTAAAAGGTCCCTGAATGCAGTCAGAATACAGCAGTTATAAAAGAGGATTGCATCTGTAGCCTTCATTTCATGCTTTTACTGAAAGGATTGATCCAGTCACTCTCTCCATCCCTCCCTCCCTCCTTGATTCCCTCCCTGTTCTTTCTCTCCGTCGCTTCCCTTTGCCTTTCCCTCTTTTCCCCTGTGTTCTCCTTTCCCTTTCTCTCTCCCTCTGCACCTCCTCCAAACCACTTCTGACTGCCCTTTCTTACTAGTGAGAGAATATGGCCAGGTATTGGCTCTATGAGCTGCTGTTCTTGGGCCTTGCGCACTCCACAGTGTGAACCACAATTTCTGATGTCTTTTGTGTATATGAGAAGGAGGCTCTCCATAACAAGGAGACCATCTACAAAGAGGTGAACTTTAACGTTTCAGGCCAGTCAAAGGAAAATTCCCCATAGCAGTTAGGAGATTTCTCTTTGGCTCCAAATGCTTGCCTGTTTAAATGAAGAAGGAAAAGTGAAGATAATTTTTCAAAATGCCTATGGTATGTAGTGTATATGGCGCAGAGCCAGTCCTGAGGTTGGGCTGGAAGACAAGTTTGCTGCTCTTGCTCCTTGCTCTCCTTCTGGGACAGCTCTGCTGATCTGCTTTGTGCTTCCCTGGCAGCTGTGGGTGCCTGGCCCATCCAGGTGTCCCCCCTGGTCCTTTCTGGAGACACAGCTGCTGTAGTGCTTTCACGAGAGGGTCAAAGCACAGTAGCAGCTACTGAGGTGCAAAATAATTTGGGGGTCGTCATAGGTAGACGCCTGTGCTTCCCACTGGAAGGGCATGTGCGTGTCTTGAGTTTTTTACTAGGGCAATGATGATTTGTGTAGAATCTAGGCTTCACTGTGTACAACTTACTGAGGGGACTTTAGGCTTGACAAAGTTTTCTGCCTCTGTTTTTTATGGTTGTTGCCAGGTCAGCCAGTTTTATTTTTCTGGCTTGCCTATAACCAAAGCCTATACTAGTGATCGATTTTCCTTTCTGATGCTTGTTGTCTTTCTCAGCACCAATGCAAGCACTCCCTGGCCCCTGCTAATGCTACTGTTATTTGTTAGTGTAAAAAACTGTATAAAGTGTAAGAGAGACACCATTAATGTTAAATAACATCTCTGTACCAGAAAGGTTTTTGTTAAAAAGAGTCACAGAGTATTTATACCATGTGTGTGGCAGACAGTGTTTTTTCTTTTTTGTTTTTATTTAAGGTATACATTTGGCTGCATTGACTTTGTTTTCCCCCCTGTGAAAAATAAAAATCTATTTGTGAAAAAGAATATGGATTCTGTGCCTTGAAAACAACAGAAAAGTCCAAGGGAGGCTTTTGTAATTTGCTGATGTAAAAACTGACTAATTTTAAAGTTGATCACATGCAACAGAGCACACTGACCTCTAAAATACTTGTATGGTCCAGCTTAGGTGAGAAAAATTCTTGATCTTCTAAACTCTGACTTTTTAGGAACCATCTTCTCCAAAAGTGAAAATGGGTAATAAAAAGCAGGTCCTGTTGCTTGGCTGATGACTGGGTGTGAATACCAAGTGTTTGCAGATTTCTCTCCAAAAAAGCCTGAAAGGGGGTGCTGTGTATGTGTCAGATGCCTTTTAATTTAACTGCTGAGGAGTGTGAACTTGCAGAGAGGGCCAGGGATGCAGAGACAGAAGGGATAGAAAATGGTGAAGGACATCTCAGGGCTTCCAATAGCAGTATACAAAAGTAATGGAAGCCTTAAGAAAAGTTACTCTGGAAGAAGATGGATTGGAAAGGAAATTGTGATCTTGCTACAACCTTTCTAAGAGCTACTATTATAATTCCAAAATTATTAAAATTTCAGGAGGCAAGAAAAGCTGTAATTTTACATATAGAGTATGAAACTGAGGGCAAGGAGAAAAGAGGCAAGCATAAGAACACTTTAAATTATAAGTGTAAAGTTTAATAAAACACAAAGATATCTAAGCACAAATTATTTTTTGTGTGTTAATCCTATTTTCTTTCTTATTTGCATTTAAATTGCACTGATTGAACCTGAGATGCTTTAAAAATTGGCGTAGTTGAGCCTGGTTAAGTGTTGCTACCTGAATTTTAATGTCTTGTTTAGGCTTCAAAGAAACTCTCTTAACTGGGCAGAGCCAACCATTTTTGGGTTTTATTAAATCTATATTTTTTTTCTCTCAAATGTGAATTTAATTTGTATTTATGTTTGCTGTCAAAATAGCTCAACTTTGTGCCTAGAGTTGCTTATTGCTGATTTGATTCTAATACTCTGCTTGGTATAAAGACAAATGTTAAAGTTATCGCTCCCCAAAAGTGTGTCAAACTGGGGAAGCAAAAAGGAAATCACAGGATTTTTAATGTTATTCTGCAAATTAGTAGTTTTGTACATGCAGTGGGAGAGGTGGCAATTTCAGAGGAACTTGACTGAAGGGAAGAGCTGTTTGAAGTTTGGTGGGAGTATGGGGTGGGAAGATAGGCAGGATATGTCTTGTGGACAAAAAAGAAAGATGGGAAGCAAATGAGTTTATTTAAACGTTGCTGAGGCTGATACAGTAATAGAACATAAACTGAGTAGGAACATGGTCTAAAGCTCTGTCAAATATTTACATTTTTGATGTTGATGTTCAGGTAGTGTGTAGTGTAAAGATGACAGTGGTCATAGAAATAGGGTTGTGGTGGATCTGAATTTAAAAGAACATGCTTTGCTTAAGGAAAGGATAATTTAGGAAAAACCTTTGTTCTTCTTTTGGTATTTATTTCATCTAGTTGTTGTTCTCTCAGTTTCCTTTTTTTTTTTTTTTTAATTTACTTATGTTCTTCCTTTAAAATTGTTTTAATTATGAATAGTTGTCTACAAGCAAGTCACGACATGTAGCTCTATTGTTCCTCTTTATGTCATTCCTGCTATAGAGGCTCATAACTGTTGTGGATGTCAAAGCCTTCAGCCATGTTTCTGGGAATGATGACATGAATTTTATAACCCCTAGACACCAGTTTCTTGAGATTGGTGGGGGTACTTTTCATGCAAAAATCTGGCAAAATCTCATTAGGTAACTCTTTCACTTGTGTTTTTGTAGACTTTAAATGCTTTTTCTGAAGGGACTTGTTTATATGAGCTGGACTGTTCTCAACTGTTTTGTAAATTCTTTAGAGACTGTTGATGTGTTGCTTTGCTGACTGTAGAGTTGAAACTCTGTGAAATTAACCTGTTCAAACATCAGTGTGCTATTTCATTGCAAAACTCAATATAAAAATATTTAAGTAAGCCTACTCTTCTAGAATCTTGTGAATGTGAAGTGAGAACAGACTTTATTAAGTATTTTTGTTTTAGAGGTGGATAGACATCTAATTAGTTTTTAAAATTTTTCAGAGATGTATCAGTAAGTCCAAAGTCAGTTTTTGGTAAAAGTCACTGATTCTTTGTTTAATATGATTCCATATGATTGGAAAGATTGAATTTTTAAGCAGTGCCTTGTAAAATAACTAAAAGCTGTTGTAAGGAAATCATAGAATAGAATGATTTAGGTTGGAAGGGACTTAAAGCTCACCTAGTTCCAACATCCCTGCCACAAGCAGGGACATCTTCAAATAAATCAGGTTGCTCAGAGTTGCATCCAACTCTTGACTTAGAATGTTTCCAAGGATGGATCATCTACCACCTCTCTGGGCAACCTGTTCCAGTGTTTCACTCTCCTTATTGTAAAAAACTTCCTTATATCTGCCCTCTTTTAATTTAAAACCATTACCTCTTGTCCCGTTACAACAAGCCCTACTAAAAATTCCGTCCTCACTTTTCTTCCAAGCCCTCTTTAGATACTGAAAAACTGCAATAAAGTCTCTGAAATCTCCTGTAGGGACATAAAAGCACACCAGTGTAATCCTGACTGTTCATATATGGGGTAGAAAGAGAATATCCTTTTACTCAGTACTTGAAGACTTGTTCCCAGCTCATCTGACTTGCCCGTTCAGCTTGGTGCCTTCAAAGGGATCTTCCCGTTCACTCTGGCATAGGGGGAGATTTGTGAAGGAGGCTTAGTTCACCTATGGGAGTTTGATTCCCTGTCAGAGAGATTTTGCTGAAATACCTGCATTTCATTCTGCATACAAAGCTGCAACCTTGTTTCATTGCAGCCAAATGGAGATGTGAACTGAAAAGCAAATTAATTACCCACTAACTGCTGAATGGTACCTTGTGCGCAAACAGAAGGCGTTTACCTCATACCATAGATGCATCATGTAATAAATCTGACAGTTATGGCTTTTTGTCTTATCTTTCCCTGCAGTGTCCATAAAAGTGTTTCTCACTTGTAACAGATGGTCAGAGCACAGCTTTGAAATTTATCTGGAGATGAAGCCCTGTTGATTCCATTAAAAGTGAAGAATTTTCATGCAGATGGAGACAGAGGGATTTATTGTTACAATTCTGATGGTGAGGTATTTCATACAAAGCCTTCTTTTCCTTTTTCCTTGTAGGTGATGTGCCTTCAGGATTTTTTCGGCGATGATGACATTTTTATTGCATGTGGACCAGAAAAGTTCCGTTACCAAGATGATTTCTTGCTGGATGAAAGTGGTAAGATGTATTTTTTTAAATGCTTACATTGAGAGTAAAGGGCAGATTTCCATATCATGCTAATTAAACTAAAGTAGTATGACCTGGATTGAGTTCAGAAATAGAAGAAATATTTTATTTCAAAATACTGAAAATAAGAGAATTGAAAGCAACAATAAAGCTGTCTGCCTATTGCAGCATAAAACTTGATTCAGCCTGAATTTCACATATTGTATGAAAAGTCGTGTTTGGTGGAATTCCTTTTTTTTTGGTAACACCTTTCATGTTTTGACTTTGAATTTATTCTGTTTTTTTTAATCACAATTTCTTAGGCTCCCAGTATCTACCATTGAGATTTAGTTAATGATTCAGTTTAAGTTATGTGATAAAGAAAGACAAATGCAATTCTATGTGGAAGATAAATGTAATCAGCAAAGGCAGACAAAGTCATCTGAGAAAATTCAATGAGTTCTGTTTTTCAGAGGCTGACTAATACAGTAATGAAATCAATGTATGTAATTCTCTAAGGAAAATACATGTTTTGTTTTCAGATACCTTCATTGTTACAAAGAATATTCCTGACTTGGGAATCACAGTTGTAAGGAAAAAGAAGAAAAAACTAACTATAGGCTTTGTGCATTTAAACAAACAAAGAAAGCTGTCAACAACATTGAATTTATTTTTGTGCATAACAAGACACAGTGAAAGTTTTATTGCTCCTACACTCTTTCTCCCTCCATGATATCTTTGTAATCCATTGGTATCAAAATCTCTAATATTTTTTTAAACTGTCGAAGGTCTGAAAGAACACTTGGCTGAAGAATCAGTCACAGAAGATTTTGTTACAGCAATAACCACTTCACAGTCATTATGTGTGTATCTGTTTAGCTTCACCACTTCATCATGGTTTTTGATGCAGTTATTCTCTCACAGTTCAAGATGGTGTAATTGTATTTTTCTGACTAACCTGTGAAGCTGGAGGGCCTCTTGGTTTTCCCAGATCCAGACAAATGCTCCGTTAGCCTGTGTAGGAGCAGAAGGCAGCAACTTGCGCAGACCTGGCTCTGTGAGTTGAAGGATGACTCTGAAAAAGGAGGTGTCTCCTGGGCACAGCAATGACCTTTTGTGTCAGGCACAGACAGAAGCAAGAACACCCTGTGCATTCCTCTAGAGGACCTCATATGGAAATAAAAATCGAAGTAGAGCACCAGATCTGCACTTTGCAGTAATGAAATTGCTGTAGTTGACTCTAAGGCAAAAGGTACCAATGGTGAAAAAGTGGCTTTAGCCATTTTTGGAATGGGAATTAGAAAGGTGAGGGGGCATTTGACCAGCAAAGGAGTTTCTCTGGTGGCTTTGTGCTCAGAATGGATGTCCTTGCCTTTAAGGAGAGGATAGTTGGCTGTGTAGTCTGGATTCACTTGTTTCTCTCATCTGAAGGATGACACTGGTGGCTGCACAGTGTCTCCTCACAGTGAACCGTGTGGCAGTTTTTCCAGCAAAGACTCAAGAAATGCTGACAACAGATTTGTCGAAATCCCTTTTGGAAGTGTGTAGTTGGTTTTTGGAGGTCTAGTGCCAAAGTACAGACATTGCCTGACTCTGCTTAGTCTTTGTTCGTCTGATATATCAACATTTCTTTGAGTAAGCAGTATCTTTGTCTAAAACTTTGGTGCTTAAAACCATTTTTTACTGATCTTAAGAAAAGAGAAATCCTAAAAATCTATGCTGAAAACACAACTTTAGCTATTTGTTGTAGTGTTTGCTTTTCTACCGGCTAAAGATTCAGTGAACATTGACTGTTCTTTTACTGCAGGAATGAAGAAAGAGGAGAAAATCAGACTGTATCTCTAATTTCTTTGAGAAGCGTACACCAACTTTGCTCTCTCTTTTTCAGGAGGTTTGATATCAGAGAACTTGTTTAGGTTGCTTGCCAGTAATAGCTGATGTACCAACTGATATGCATCTAGTCAGCCTTCTCTGAGCAGGAGCAAGAGTTGGAGAGAAAATAATGTTTCTTATAAGGAGCTTTTAACTTGTTTTGCTTGGCAAACAAAGTTTGTGTGATCACGATGCCATGTCTGTGCATTCCTCATAGCTAATCTAAGAACATTACAAGTATTAGGAAGTGCTGTCCAACTGTGCAGGGCTTGTAAAGCCTGTCTCTGCTTCCCTGAAAAGCATCTTGAAGCAACGCTGCTGGCTTGTCACTACATCTCTCCAGTATCTTCCAGGTTCAGCCAGGTGATAACAGTGAAGATGTTGCAGCAGGAGGAGTAAAGAAAAGCAAAATTTGGAGGCAGGAAAGAAAAGTAGAGAGAAGAAATTTATAAATAATCAGGGTTCTGGGGTTTTGGGAATTACTTCTCAGGGAGGAAGAGGAAGGCCATTGTTTTGTGGTCTGGGTTCAGAACTCCTGGCAAGCAGGAGGCAAAATTGGGGGTTGGGAAACCAGTCACCTGTACTGGGATCCATTGTAGCTAACATGAGGTAGCTGCACGTAGGTAGTTGCCTGGGACTGAGCCATTCCCAGCAGATTTCTTTCCCAGTGAAAAAAAGCCCTTAGACTTACTGACAAAGTAGATGGTAGATGTTTGGTTGACTCAGTTGAAAGTGGATGTTTTGAACAGTTCATATGACGTATGCTCCAGAAATGTCTGGTTTGCTTCTCTAAAGGCATCTATATGCCTAATGTAGCTCTTCTTGTCTATAGTTTGTGTTTTAAAGTTGCTTAAAAAGCTTTTAGGATGAGATTAATTCCACCCTATCAGAAAGGAAAAATTTAAAATCTCATCAGTTTGCATTATTTGTAGTCATCTTTGTTTCTTCTGCTCCTGTGGCTTGCTCTTGCCTTTGGATAGCACTTCTATTCTAAAAGCCACAGAATCAGAAATTTAGAAAAACCAGTCTAGAAGTCAGTTAATTGATCTCCTCATCTGAGTTTGAGATTAACATTCCACATTTATTTTCTGGCATACTTGGCTAACAAGTCCCTCTAAAGCCTGTGATGAGGAAGAAGCTGTATCTTCCCAAGACATTCTGTGCCAGTGGTAAACTCTTCTTACTGTTTTTCAGCTATCTTCCCCAGATTCCCTTGCTATAAATGAAATTCATTACTACATGTCTTATCTGCTTGGACCATGGGAAACAGATGATTCCTTTTTCTTTGAAAAAATCCATGGGCTCATCAATTTTCTTTTCTTTAGGCTGAATAATTAGGTCAGCTTTGCTTTGACTCCAGGCTCAAACCTGCCCTTGAATGAGGCTATGTGTTCCTTCTTCATGTCATCTCCCTTCTCTGCTTTATGTCTTTCAGGAAAAGGCATTGCATATCCCCTTGGCAATCAGCTAAGAAAAGTCAGTTAATTAGGGATCCATCAAAGAGGAAGAAAAACAAGCAGTCCTCACTATACATTGTAGTTTCTTCCCTGCCTGGATGTACAGATGGTTTTCATGCTAAACATGCTGTTTATTGCATGAAATTCAGAAACAATAGGCACCATCATAATTCCTAGCAATCATCTCCATATCTGACATGATCAATAGATATGATAGCCACACACACTTTCATCATGAGAGCTGCTGATGGGACATAAGAATGTATGTGGGTAAAACTAAGAAGTAAATGCTCCTTGTTTGTCAAGTGTCAGTGGTGATGCTATTTGCATAAAAAGTTTTATGGGGTATGTAAGCACAAAAGCATTACATGAATGAAGCACACATTGCAGCAGCTTGCAAGAAGAAAGAATTCCTCAGCGTAGAGTATAGCAGTGACTGCTTCAGGCATTGTGAGCTTGCAGTTTTGGAAAGTCTCCCAGAAATCCCAGGTTTTCTTTAACTCATGGTTGTTCAGTTTTCAAAGAAGAGGTCAGGGGATGCCTTTCAATAGCCCTTAGCTGTGTGTTGGCAAAGATTAAGGTTTAAGGGCCACTCTCACAAAAATATTTGCAATCAGCTATTATTTAGGCACCTAAATAGGATTTTGCAATGTGAGTAATTCATGAGATTTGCCCTAATTCAGAACATCTCCTCTGCTTATATAGTTATTTCTTTCTCAGCACTGTAAAATAAGAGAGCTTTGAGGCTGGCAGTGTCTGACTTTTTTTTTTTTATTAAATTATTTTTTTATGTTCTGTTAATGCTTTCTGAGTTCTTTGGAACCTTGAGAGTTGCACACAAAAGGTGTGGCAGACTTCATCATGTACTGAGGTGCATCATGTACAAAAGCTGCAATCTCAGCTGGCCAAAGCCAATGTCTGTGCCTCCAAGCAGAGTGTAACCAATACAGAATGTCTGGATGTGAAAACAAGTGCAGATTGCTTGTCAAAAGCACATATTACTGTTATGGAAACAATGAGGAGAATGACCCCGTTTTAGGGAGAAATTAGGACTGGAACTTTGAAACCTAATTTCACTTAGACTTTGCTGGCCTGTGCTAGTCCTCAGCTCAGCATCTCTGGGCCAGCAGCGTTACTGCTTCAGCTTGCCAGCAGCAGACAACTTGCCAGGAAAATCTGAGTCCTGTGGTGTCCGCACGCACGTGCGTGTGCGCATGGAGGCGTGCACCCGCATCTGATCCAGGAACTGCAGTTAAGGTCAGGGGTATCATGTTTATCCCTGTTAATAGCTGTCATGTCTCTGCAACCTTCATTAATCTGTCCTTCCTAAAAGAGGCAGGAAAGGGAAATCAGTTATAGTCCTCATCTACCCTGATTTATAGGACAGAGACTGATGTGTTAAGCAGCTTTTGGCTGGATTAGGAGTGGAGAGCATGCTGGCTGACTTACTCTGCCCTCATCAAAAACTCGTGCTTTGGCAATTGCAAAGTAATGGTGGGTTCTGGGGACTTTGAGATACAACTTTGCTTTCAACAGAGGCGTAAATATAAAGTGTTCCACTGCAGTGTGATATTTTCAAATGTCAACAACTGCTGGGCCTTGGAAACAGATATTCTGTGTGTGAGAAAGAAACAAAGGCAAGAGAGGCCAGACTCTGGCTGGATCTACCACTTAGACTGATGG